AGTAGCAGTCGTAGTAGTATTGTAGTCGTGGGGATAAAGTAGTAAGCAGTGGTAGTTGGTTGTAGTGGTGGTGATAAGGATAATAGTAGTAGTGTTGTGGTAGTAGTGGTCAGTAAGGTAAGTAATAGCAGCAGTGTGGCAGGTTGTGGTAGTGGGATAATAGTAGTAGTAGCAGTGGTTGTAGTTAGTGATAATAGTAGTAGTAGCAGTGGTAGTAGTGGTTGTAGTTGGTGGTGATAATAGTAGTAGTAGTAGTGGTAGTAGTGGCAGAATGTGGGATAATAGTAGAAGTGCAGTAGTAGTAGTAATGCGGATAATAGTAGTAGCAGCAGGGGTAGTGGTTGTAGTTGTGGTGATAAGTAGTACGCAGTAGTAGTAGTGGTCGTGAAAGTGATATTAGTAGTAGTAGTTCGGTAGTGGTTGTAGTTGTGGTGATAATATAGTAGCAGTGGTAGTAGTGGTTGAGGTCAGAAGTGATAATAGTAGTAGTAGTGGTAGTAGTGGTTGTAGTCGTGGGATAACAGTAGTAGCAGCGAGGAGTAGTGGTTGTAGTTGGGTGATAATAGTAGTAGTAGCAGTGGTAGTAGTGGTTGTAGCGTAAGATAATAGTAGTAGTAGCAGGCAGTGGTAGATAGTAGCAGTGATAATAGTAGTAGTAGCAGTGGTAGTAGTGGTTAGTAGTTAGGTAATAAAGTAGCAGCAGTGGTAGTAGTGGTAGCTGTGGGTGATAATATAGTAGTAGTAGTAGCTTGTGGTAATAATAGTAGTAGTAGCAGTGTAGTAGTGGGTAGTAAATGGGTGATAATAGTAGTAGCAGTTGGTGGTAGTAGTGTAGTTGGAATGTAGATAATAGTAGTAGCAGCAATGGTGTAGTAAACAGAAAGTAAGTGATAGCAGGTAGTAAGTGGTAGTAGTATTGTGGCTGGCAGGTGATAATAGTAGTAGTAGCAGTGGTAGTAGTGGTTGTAGTCGTGGTGATAATAGTAGTAGCAGGTGGTAGTAGTGGTTGTAGTTGTAGTGATAATAGTAGTAGTAGAAGTGGTAGTAGTGGCTGTGGACGTGGTGATAATAGTAGTAGTAGCAGTGGTAGTAGTGGTTTGGGTTGTAGGATAATAGTAGTAGTAGCAGTGATAGTAGTGGTTGTAGTTGTGGTGATAATAGTAGTAGTAGCAGTGGAGAGTGGGTAGTTGTGGATAATAGTAGTAGTAGCCGGTAGTGGTTGTGGTTGTGGTAATAATAGTAGTAGTACGTGGTAGTAGTGGTAGTAGTCGTGGTGATAATAGTAGTAGTAGCCGGTAGTAGTGGTTGTAGTTGTGGTGATAATAGTAGTAATGAAAGAATCTTACCAAAGTGTTATATGAAGTGTATAGTTGTTATTCACCTGAGTGATATACCAACTCATTAACCTTAGCGAAGTATTCTATAATTGGATATATTAGTATATTCGATCACTAAATAACCGAAGTGATATATAATGTATTAGATAACATGCAGATAACTGATAGATTATGATAAATGTATGCATAGATAACTTATATAATACCTCGATATGTTTTAACTAAAGCAGTGTATAGTTGGATATATTATAGTTTATATAACACGAGAATTATATAGTAACTGTGTGTTCTCTGTCATCAATCCACAGCTTCGTGTACCACGTTGGCGACAGTGAACGTGCCGAAGAACGCAACGAAGAAGAGGTAAAGTGGTGGCCAGTACGCCTTTGTGGCTCCTGAAGGTGATGAATACCAGTTCAAGTACGAAGCTGACGAGGATGGTTACCAGGTGGAAGTGACGCCCTTCCACCGCTCCTGAGGACACTGAAGACGTGAAGAAGGCCAAGGAAGCGTTCTTTGAGGGGCTTAGAAAAGGCTCTTGAGGCCGCCGAGGAGGATGATTATGAATACTCCGCTGAAAGTGATGGAGTCTGATGAGTCTGATGGAGTCTGATGAGTCTGAAGAGTCTGATGAGGATGATGAGGAGTCAGCGAAGAATCTAGTGAAGATGATGATGATGATGACGAAGAGGAGGAAGAGAGTGAGGACAGTTTGCCGTACCTTCACGCTGGAGCCGTGTTGTTCCTTATCCATACAACAGAAATTAACTCCTTTTCCTGTTAACGGGACGAGAACAACAGTACTCTTCCTCTTCTCTCCTCCTCCTCACCAGACTCGTGGCCTTTGACGGACAAGTGAATAACGCGATGAATAACCCGAAACAAACTACCTGGAGATAAAGTTCTTGTGCGGACTTATAATTCCCAGGTAGTTACACCTTGTATAAAGTCTCTCCCAGGTAAAAAGTGAAGACCCCCGGTTGTTTCGTCGCGTCTGAGTCTTGTGGTCTTGCCTGTTAAATCACTGTAAATAATTTCTCTATTCTTTTCCCTCAAACTAGTCCAATATATACTTTTTCCTCCCCACGAAAAGTTACAACGAAGGACTTCATATCTCTCTCTGTCTCTATCTCTCTCTATCTCTCTATGAAGTCAACGAATTATGCTTCGACCTTGTAATGTACAAAGTTATCTCTCTCTCTTTCTCTGCAAACGCTCAAATGGATATATATATATATATATATATATATATATATATATATATATATATATATATATATATATATATATATATATATATATATTTACTATATAAGACAAAAGTATTTATTGTAGAATTATCTATATATTTTTTGTAATACACGTCAAACTTTTTTAAAAGGTGAGATATCCATGACATATTACATGTTTGTAAAAGAGATTATATTTACGTATCGCAATTTGCTTTTTTGCAATAAATTATATATATTATAAATGTCCCTTGTGATTTTATCCTTATTTTGTATGAAGTAAAGATCCGAAATTGATACTGGATGTGTGTATACATATAGAGATATATATTCATATTTGTAAGTATGCACATAAGTATATAGGTTTATACAGACACATACATATGTATATACACTTGTTCTCATACAAACATACATTTAAATACACACACATACCTACACCACACAATCACATGTGAAAATCAGTACTGGAGCATACATATGTATAGATATTTAAACACACACACACATACAATAAACACAGGTTTGACCAGATTATAAAAATTATAAATACAGTACCAATATATTTGTTGGTCATTGAAGGAAGATTGATGCAGAAATGATCTTTTATTTACATACACAAACAGACGAACAGGCGCAATAGATAAATAATGACAATTGATGTTGTGAAGAGATCAACCCTCAAGGACGACACTGTAGTATACATGTGTTCTATTTCCATCCTTAGTTGTCTTGAGCAGGCTGACAATAGTAACGACCTCACACACACTAGTTAACAAGCGGTACCAAACAGTTCATCCTGCCTCAGGAGATGAAAATCCCTGGTGGCAGGTTGATTCACTACAGTTTACCTCCGCCCTAATTTCACCAAATTTACCGGCTCTGATGCTGTCGGTCGTTACTTGATAGTCATACTGGTTTTCCTTAACAAAACTGGAGAATTCATCGTCCTCTAAGAGTTGAACAATCATTTAATGACGTTGATTTAGGATGATTTGCTCACCACAGAAACTTTTAAACGACTAAAGCCCCAGGAGCAGTGCCGGATTTAGACCTGTGGAGGCCCATGGCAGCCTTCTTTGTACCCCTCATTATAACTACCCACGAGGTGGATGGCGATTGAAGCGAGCCCAACATCTGGAGTTCCTGGGGCGCTGTAAGCCCCCGGAAAATTTTGAAATTTGGAACACTTTGGAGAATTTTGAAGCCATATGCAGTTATATTGAGGAAATTAGAACATTGAGAAATTTTTAATTAACTGTATATTTATTTATAGTGCACAAATTCCCAACACACACACACACACACACACACACACACACACACACACACAAAAAGGATAGATAAACATGAATTTTAAGGAATGAAAATAAAATTATCCAATTGAATGAACAAATAAATAAAATATTGTAATATGTGGAGGCCCCCAGATTGTGGAGGCCCCTGGCAGCTGCCACTTTGTCCCTCCTGAATCCGGCCCTGCCCAGAGTTTAATAACTTGGTTCCCTGCCTATGACTTACTTTATAGTCTCTATTAAACTTAGCTGTTTTATTAATTTCAGCAAGCTATATAATCAGTCGTGGACAACACTAAAAATACACGATAATATTGCAGTAAACAGCAACCACAGAATTCCGGAAATTCACTACAAACAATCGATAGAACTACTTTTCTATGATCATTTTCTTATATTGCATTAGGTTAGGTAACACATTTTTATAAGATTCTTTTGGTTGCTGTAAAGCAAATTTTACCAAATACACAAAGTAGTCAGTTGCGGGACAACACTAAAATTACACATATTAGTCAGCCGCGGATAACACTAAATTACACAGAGTAGTCAGTCGCGGACAACACTAAAGTAATGAATTAGTCAGTCGCGGACAACACTAAAAATACACGAGGTAGTCAGTCGCGGACAACACTAAAAATAATGAATTAGTCAGTCGCGGACAACACTAAAATACACGAGGTAGTCAGTCGCGGACAACACTAAAAATAATGAATTAGTCAGTCGCGGACAACACTAAAATAATGAATTAGTCAGTCGCGGACAACACTAAAAATAATGAATTAGTCAGTCGCGGACAACACTAAAATACGAGGTAGTCATTCGCGGACAACACTAAAATAATGAATTAGTCAGTCGCGGACAACACTAAAAGTACATATTAGTCAGCGGAAAACACAAACATTTGACACAGCTGTTTTCTGGCTGGTTTACAGTTCATGTTTTTCCGGTCTGGTAACTCCTTTGTAAACAACATTACAACTACTTCACATGCCGAACCAAATATAAACTTCCATGATTTTAATTGATAAATTTATGAATCTATATTTTAATATATCAATCAATCTAATATGTGCTATATAGCATACAGTTTCTTTATTACAGTGTCCTTGTAGTGACTACAGGTATTGGTAACGGTGAGTGGAGCTGCCAAGGCTCTGGAGGTGGCTGCTGAGGCACTTGTTTTATAAATCTTACTTGCTCACTTATTACATACTCGTTTGCTTACGTATCCATCATCTAATAACTGAGAAACACTGTAACAACAGCTACAATTTGAACAATGGTGCGAATACATTGTTTTTAAGGACGTCTTCACAGTAGAAACTTCCAAGCAACTTTATAAATATCTATTGAAAGAATGCAAAAACTTCCCAAAGAATCTCAGTCTTATTATCTCCACACTATAAGACAGGTAAATTATATAGTAGGTGCATAGGTGTTACAAGAAGTGTGTGATTCAGTGGATGTTATGTGAATTTAACTAACTTGATACTGTAGTTTGTATTAATGTTAGTGGGTAATAACTTGAAGTAATACTTTATGACAGTTGGTGCCCTTAAACAGCAACTTGAAGAAATTATGTAAATTTACATTAGTTCACACAACTCTGTTAGAAAGTCAAAGTATGTTAGGTTAATATATAGGACTAACCTCTGGGGCTGAATAGCGCCGATGCGGCCATATCATCTCGCATCCAAAATGCCCAAATTTCACCATATCATAGTAAGTTTTTCTGTTTAATATACCGGGGACGTTAGGTAAGGTTAGGTAGGTTTGTTTGGTTTGGTCTGTTCTTCATGGCCACAAATGTTAAGTAGTGTTTATTTTTAAAATATTATTTTTAACATACTTACAAACTACAACAGTGTCCACTACGGTATAACAATGAAAATCCGGCGTTTTTATAATTGTTTTCAATCAATTTTGCTTATGGTTAGTCAATATAATTACCCTATGTTTTTCTAGTGTTTTTGTGTTTTGATTGGTTCTGACCGTGATTTCGTCGGAAATTGCTTGTTTTTTAGTTATCATTCTCTACCCCCAAAAGATAGGGATCCTGTTGGGAACCAGGGTTTTAGGTGGGGAGAGAAACAAGCATCTTCCACAAAAATCATGGCCAGTAAACACAAAACACACCAAAAAAAAAAAAAAAAAACTAGAAAAACATATAAACCTAACCTTTATGAATGACCTAACCTAACATAATCCAACCTAACCTAACCTAATCCTCACGGTGTTTTACTAACCAGACTCTCACCATATGAGGGAATCACTGTTATTTCTTACATTATTCGAATTGGAATCAGAAATTCGAGTTGGCGGAGGTGGATCATCGACATGAAGAGCCTGGTTCAGATTCGTCAGTCGGATTCTGAATCTGATCTGAACGGGATCAGTACAGGTGGCTGACATTGATTCTCGCTAACGGGGGTTAAAGGCGGGCTTTTTTCAAGAAGCAATGAAGTACAACACCGAAGATTCTTGTATTGCCTTAGGAAGTGTTTCCAGATGCCAGACCTTTCATCCACCCTTTAAGTCACGCCAAACCCTCTCAATTGTTTGCGTGTATATATCGGGCTGGGCTTGATCTATAGAATTCTCAGAGTGATTAATCTTGTAGTGTTCGTAACCATGATCACATAACCTTTTGTATGCAGCCCAAGAATCACTGGTAATATAATAGAAGAAAATTATCTAAAATTAGACGTCTTTTTCGAATGTGATAATAGATTTGGGGTAGGAATGTTGTGTGAACTACTATCAAAGTACCGGAAATTATTCTGGAGTAGATATATGTTTTCATGCCTTGTAAAAATATACAGGGCTGCCTCACTTATTGCAAAGGTTACGGGCATGAAACTCAGTTGCAAATATCGAAATTGCGAGTAGCGGAAGCAATTTCTCCCATAAGAAATAATGTAAATAGGCTACAGGCATCGTGGTCACTGCCGTCAGATTTTAACACTTGTTTTACTCAATACATACTGTATAGAACATAAAATAAATAAAGAATCAAGGGCATAATATCAAATAATCTTCAATAACAAACACTTTGAGTTTATTGCGTTATATGTTTATGTGTGTAGGTGTTTGAAGTAAATTTTAAACGTAGTCTGTTAATTTACTCTGATGTGCTGTTTTGCTTGCTTGCTGAAGTTTGCATTAGGAGAGGTGAAGGCTTACTGGGGTGAGAGGAGGCTGGGGTCATCAGCCACTTCACTCTCATTATCGCTGTCAATTTGCACTGAAAGCTGTTGAATCCATGCATTACATAAAGGTGTTTTTAAGGCGTTGGTTTGTTTGTCAATCCACTTGCTCAATATTCACTCCATACTTTCCATCTCAGCATCAAGGAACCTCGTCACTCGTAGCCATCAGTGGTGTTGCAGACCCGGCCATCTCCCTGATCTTGTCGGGCGCTTAACTATAGAACGCACCATAGAGGGAGCTGCCGTGCACGCGCCCAATCACTGAAGTTCCTTCTCCGTGTTCACGCCTTTTTACGATATTCAATTTCACGTCCATCGTAACCGCCACACCTGATCTCTTAGCAACATTGCTGGGAGTTTTAGTAGCTGGTCGCTTAGGCATTGCAACACACAAAAACACGCCAGCAATGGAGACTGAGGCGAGGGCGTATGGGGGAGGAATACGTCACACGCTGTCCTACATTTCCAACTACCACCATTTCGACTTGCAACCTGGATGTCGGTCCTCACCCCATTGTAAGTCGGGAGAGCTATGTGTATAATATATATATATATATATATATATATATATATATATATATATATATATATATATATATATATATATATATATATATATATATATATATATATATATATATATATATATATATATATATATTGATAATCTCTCTTCCCTTTCTCACTGTAATGTTGCTTCACTCTTTCTCTTTACAGGTACTGTACTTTAACGGCAATGTTCAGTGGATTTGGCATCTTGTTTACTGCCGCAAGGCCGTGGGCTCGGAACACTTGTCTTGCCCGCGTGCCCACCGCTTTCTCCATGGATGTCGGTCACACTAGGATAACCTGTTTAGTACCTCCTTCTTTCCTCACACAGCCAAACTGTGGAATTCTCTGCCTTCTTCTGTTTCCATACTCATACACTCTGTCTCACTTCAAAAAGCTGGTTTTCCGGCATCTTCGCAGTGTAGATTAACAGTCTTTTCTCCTCTCTCTCTTTTTTTTTTTTTTTTTTTGCCCCCAGGCCCATTGTGGGTTGATGACCTGTGCATGGGTGGGCTATACTTGTATATATAAAAAAGAGATTGTAGTGATGCTCAGTGGTTTATTCCTTGCTGCATGTATAACTTGATTACTGTACACCCAACTATAGCAGGTCTCTTTTTTCCTTTTCCATGTAGAAACACATACCCTGTACTATGCAGTAATAAAGTACAATAAAAACACAACAATACACCATTACACACCTTTATTTGCTATCCACATAATTTCTAAAATTTTGGATTACCAGACAAAGAAGTTAATGATCTTATTCCTAAAATACAGTATGTACAGGATTGGGTATTTGGCTTCTGACATAACATTCTTTGCAAATTTTAAGACCATAATGATGTAAAAGATATCATAATGTATGGTGTGCTCTGCAGTGTAGTACTAATTGTTGGATTTTCCATTACACTGTAGGGCTTTAATCAACATTCTGATGAAACGGATCCAGAACGAATATCTCAGATCATACATCGGGCAGTGGAAGATTCAAGGTGGATTGTGAAGAAGGTAAGGTAGCTACTATGGCCTTTAATCTTATCTGAGTTTCCCACAACTAAACACTGTATGATAATGCCGGCAGTTCTCTGCTGTGATGTACAGTACTCTACTGCATCTAGTGGTACAGTACAGTAATAAAACTGCCTTGAAGAAAAGTGTATTATATACTACAAAGTGGCTGTTCATCCATTGCACCAGTTTCAAGTTCACACTTTGAACTATGAGCTAAATGTTGCTTTGAGAACCAGTGCTGCCTTAGATCATGGGGTTGAAACCCTGGTGAAATTTTACATACTATAAGTCATAGATTGCCATTAAAAGTAAATAGGAACCCATGCTTCAGGCCAACACATTTCCCTAATTAAATTTGTTGTTGTTTTCGGAGTTTACTAGGTTCATCTTTCTATATATTTGATTTTGACAGAATGGTGTAAAGTGAAACAGTTGTTTGATAACATTATGGTTTTCATTATGCAAGTGATAATGTTTTATTGGTGACCCCTAGTGACTGATGGTGTACTGTAGTTCAAACATGGAACTACAGTACTACAAGGGTGACTTGAGCACTACAGGTGGTTTGTACAACCAGGGATGGGGTAAATACAGGAACTCGGGGATTGAACGCCCTCTTTAATGTTCAGATATGGCAACCCTAACACAGTGTAAACTTGTCTCCAACAGTGACCATTTCCATTCTGTTAGTATTGTATACAGTACTGGAAGATGCATCTGAAAATATTTGATACAACCTATTGTAATAGGGATGACTTTCTGGTCCATTTAGCTCTCTTGGCCAGGGCCATACAGTACAGTACAGAACAGTACAGTACAGTAGTCTGTAAATTATTATCTTAACTGATGACAATTCCTTGTAATCAGTGCTCTAATACATATTATTCTTTTCAGTACTCCAAAGCCCAAGAGTAAACCATTGAGGAAGACTGTTGTTGCAGTATCAGGTAAGTACACAGATTATTTTGGGTAGATATTTATGAGTATAAGGAATAATATCACCCATCTGAAAAATGAAAATGTGACACAATTGCAACCAATAGGGGAATGAAGTGCAATATGCTGGTACAAAATTTATTTTAATTTAAATAGTTTTGGCAAGAAAGGTAAGTGCAGCACAGTTACAGTATTAAGAAAACATTCATGAAGCCATCCTAAGAGCATTTGATAAGATCATACACACTAAATGCATCCAACTGAATCAGTTCATATAAGATGTAATACGCCCCGTTCAACTTGGCTGTGGTTACTGTACAGAGTTGCAGTTACCTGACGATGTTATGAATGGGGAATTGATCATGAAGTTCAGTTTCATAACAAGAGTCTGGACTTAGCTCATTATCTCCTGTTCATTTAGGACACTGAGTTGAACTGGACTGAAGTGGTTTATCAGGCTTACTAGTGCAGTAGAATCTTACAGATAACTTGTCTGTTCCTTGGTCAGAAGATGATATTTCATACTTTAGCATTTTATTTTTCCTCCTTCATTTTGAAATGCCTTTAGATTCTTTTTTCTCTGGATTCCACTCATCTTCTGTCCCTTCCACATAATCCCATGTACTTAGTTCAAAAAGATAATTTGTAAATATCTTTCCTCAGATTAGCATGGAGAAAATTATTGAAAATTACCTCTGGAAGCTTTGCCCGTCAGTTTTGGGGTGCAGTAAGAATCTACACGAGAAGCCACATATCATTAACCGTAGAATATGTGGAACTGTCAATTTATGGATCGGTTTCCCATGAAGTTTTCTCAAGACAGAATGTAGTGAAATCCCTTTGAGGACAAAGTCTTATAATTTTGTTGATGAAGTGGATAAATGTAAGAGAACTCCAGCTAACATTTACCAAGATGAAACCTTCTCAGAGTGTGACATCAATATTCATGATGCCATAGATGTGGAGACACCTTCCAGCAGTACCAATAACATACTTGATCAAGATAAAGACTTTGAACCTGAACTTAAGCAGATAGATATGATTAAGGATGTTTTGTTTAAAGAAGGATTTAGAAGTATACAAGAAAAAGAGTGATTTATGGTAATAAAATTGGTCTCAGGACAAAACTAAAGAAGTTGATGAAGATGATAACTGTAAAGAGCAGAGTGAAGCCCAGTTGCCCAAAACTACTTTAGTAAAAATAGACAGTTGAAGATACCTTGGCAGGACCTCTTGGATGTCAACACATAAGGATTGCTGTGATCAGGAGAATACTACCTAAAGTACTCAAGAAATTTACTCCTTTAGAAGTTGTCCTTATGGGTAAGTTATGAATTTATTTTAAAATTTACAATATGTCTTGGGTATGTTAGCTAATAATATTTGAGTTTAAGTATCCTGTACATAGAATGTAGTAAGTACTGATTTAAGGAAAATATATGTTGTTGTTTTTTTCTTCAATATTTGGCTTCATTAGCTACATTTTATGGCCCAAGGATCATAAACAATTGCCCTCTGACAACTAAACACCCAGGACAGAGTCTGTCAGTGCTAGAGGCTGTCCTTATCCAGCTGCAGGTTACTGTATTTTATTTAGTGTACATTAATCTTTGCTTCAGATGGAAAAGAGATGTGCTGTTACTTGGCTGCCACAAGCACCATCACACCCAGTGTTATCCCACGTGTCAACTACTTTCTTCTTTACCAAGACAGAATTAGTCTTTCATATTTTACAGGTAAGGTCTTAAGACAGTTGTTTTTAATTTCATGCATACAATGCAGAAACTCAGTAAATGTTGGTGTGTACAGTACAGTATTTTGGTTTGGTGAGTGGTGGTATTTAGTAGGGTAAGTAGAGCTTGATCTACAATTACTGTCTCTTGAAATGCCATTTTAGGGTACATAACAGTACCTAGTATGGGAGATGCTATCATCACATGGTAAGGCAGACTACTGTAGAGCTCAGTTAGGGAATCAGACTTAGAGATGATGGTGGAGACCTAATGGTCCTGCGCTCTTTCCAGAATGTCCTGTTAACAGTATGATAGCCTCTGGTCTAACATGTCCAAGAACCACAAGGGTGTTTCCTAATTTCACAGTAATGTACAATAGTAGGACTTTAGGGAAGAAATAATGGTTCATTTTATGTGGATATGCTTACATCTACATTAGAATGCCTTAAGTCATGTGTGGTAAGAGTCCCAGTCCATGTTTTAATGGCAGGAGTTTTAAATTTTCTATTATTGTCACTGTCTTTTACACTGTTGCTTTCAATGAAATTATTTTGTTCATCCCAGAGCTCTCTTTCTCATTTCCCTGGCATAACATGCCCATAAATTTGTCTTTCATTCCTTTTTTTGTGCATGATCCACAATATTCTCAGATTGACCCTCTTAGATTACATCATACCTCCTTACATTTCATCACCTAAGAGCAGGTGTACATAGTAATACCTATATATCCAGTAAAGTATCTGTATTATTTGTGTTACTTCAGATAAAGATGGCAGTTCACTTGAAGGAGAAGCCAATATTGTGTGGGTGCAGAAGAATGTCCTTCCCAAGTTGATGAAGTGGACTGGTGAGGTAGATGAAGATGGGACTGTGGAGAATAAAGGATCCCTCAGACTTGTAGATGTTCAAGAATATAACCAGTTATATCAGAAACTGAAGATCAAATATGGACAGTCGTTGGTGAAGGTGAATTAAACTTTATATGTTTATTGAAGTTGTACAAGTGATTGTAAATTTGGGGGAGTACCAAAAAAATTAAGAGTCTACTCTCAATCAGATATGGCTGCATTAAGGTATTTTAAGGATGATGAGTGTTCTTAAATGGCTCATGTGAAGTACTGTGCAGCTCTAGATTCCCAGAACAGTGCAGTTGTTGTGCAACATGCTACTTTTTCAACCATACCTGGAAATAGTTATGAAAGAAAGGGTACTTTCTTTCCTCAAAACATAAATGGATTGGAACATCTCTGTTTATGCCCAACAGTAAAATATCATCAGCTATTTTCTTAAAGATGAGGCAAGTATAATGAACCCAGGGCCATTTCAGATTTTGCTTAGCAGAGCAACACCATTACATGCAAAGAGTAGCGGTCAAAATCTTGCTATATCGTGGTTGTAACAGATGAAACACCTTCCAACACGTTTTATACAGTGACCGCTTAACTAACGCCGGTTAACGAACTGCCTTCCATAAGGACTTCAATTAATTTCTACGAACCTAATCTCAACATGGTTTCGCTTGCACTGACCGGCAACCAGCAGTATCCGCCAATACATTAATCGGTTTTAGGGCTAAATTCCTTACTATTTTAGTAAATATCAAGAAGTTTATACTATTCAATAATTTTAAAGTTTAATATTCAATTTTTTAGTCATTTTAACAATTATTGAACATAATTGAAGGTAAAGACTAGTTTTAATGTGCGGCATCCAGCCTCTAACACAGCAAACAGGTGTTAGTCTCTCTGTTTTCACTGAGGTAACATCTTGCTTGAGACTCTCTTCAACTCTATTTTTTCTGTGTTTCCAAGCAAATTATTGGTCATTTTGAAATATATTTTACATATTGACAATATATAATGCAGGCAGTGTTGATTTAAAGAAAATAATCTTTAAATACACCAAGAGAACTAAAATTTTATGGTGAAATGGTGCCATGGGGTGACTTCTCTTCCACCCCAATGCCTTCTTCTTCCTTCTCCTCCACCCCCTTCCAATTCCCATCATCATCATCCAGAGCCTTCACATACACACCTCAAAGTAAGTGAACTTTTCTACCATTTTTGTTGAATTTAAGTAATGGTGAGTTGGAACCAATTACCCAAAAACCCATTGAAGATGGAGTCAAGTTAACCAACGAACTTCTGAACGGATTGAGTTCAGTAACCGAGGGGTCACTGTATTTTCAGTTTGCATCTGCCGGTGTGGTCCGTGGTGCTAGTGCAATAATGACCTAGTTCCTAGCTGCTATTCAGTTTATAAATGACAGGCAGTGGAATGATGAAAATAGATGAATACTTAACATTTTGTTTAATTATGCATAGTAAAAATACCATTGAGATGTTCTCGAATCCAAAGGAATATAATTAAAATTTTCCTTGGAGAGCAAGACAGCCCTTGGGGGTGCGGTTCGGGAAGGCAAAAATAAAAAATAAAAATACACCCTGAATCTACCACTCTCCAGGAATACTTGACAGACAATACATTATTTCCTCCTCTTGCACTAAGGTGGTGGGGATAACTTTCCTCCCTGCTGTAGAGTTCAGGATCTACTGAATTTCTTGCTGTGAATTAGAGGTTTGATAGTATTTCATGATACTTTTGTTTCCAGATATGGCCTGAATCAACAGACCTTCAGAAATATGTGTTCGAGGATATTGCCATCGCCACATATTGATTTTAGTATGGAACAGGAAAGAAACAGAAAGGACTAAGTACACATCAAACCTTTGTTGACTTAGGTTGTGGCAATGGCCTACTTGTTCACATCCTGTCGAAGGACATCAAGGGCTTGACATAGACATAAGCGTAACATCTGGGATATGTTTCCGAACACACAAAGTTGAAGGTAGTATATTATTTTCTGCATCCATCATTGAATATACTGAAGCAGTTTTTCTAGTCAGTTGATTCAGGGTACAATACAATATATAGCAAGGTCTTAATCTTTTCATCACCTGCTGAATAGATTTTGTGTGTACCACTATGAAGGCAATGTGCAGTTTGATTGCTGTGTAGGCAGCCACACAGCTTAGAGGGAATATTGTACAGTATACAGAAGTAAATTTTAATCCATATATTGTTGTTGAGATTTTATGAAGCATACAGTGGGTGACTGGTACTGAGCTGTACTTAGTAATATTGTACTACAAGCATAGAAACAAGATAACTCCTGGCCCAACTGTAAACCATGTAATAGGAGGTAGGTAGGAGAGGCCATTGCTGAAACTGAGACCTGTGAGTCTACATTGCCTTGTCATTGTGCTTCATGATCCTTTGCAGGCTAAGTTAGGCCTTTGATTCAAGAAAGCCTTGTTCCTAGTCTTGCCTCTTGATGTTCAACCATCTCTCTCTTTACCTTGGTAACCCCAGCTTGACTTGGTATATTCACTAGTTGCACATGCAGCAGTTTACACTGATCTGACAGGACAGTGTATCTTGCTTTAGAATGCAAATAGCATCGGCCATAAAATGTCATGCTTCTTTCCAGTGTTCTTCATTACAGATATCTCTTTCATTTATTTTAGGAAGGAGTCATTGAACCATCTGACAAGAATCTTTTCCCTCAGTATGATTGGCTAATTGGAAACCATTCAGATGAGCTAACCCCTTGTTGTCATTGCTGCCAAGTCTAGATACACAACTCGTTTTGTCATCCCATGTTGTGCCCATGACTTGACTGCAGGTACAAGGAAATGTGCAGGAAGAAGCCAGTACTCAGATTATCTGGAATATATCAAAGAAATTGGGACTGTTTGTGGCTTTGAGTCTGGCAAGATAAATTAAGGATTCCTTCCACTAAGAGAGTGTGTTTGATTGGACAGGAAAGAACATATCACAGTCCCATCAAACATTTCAGAAGATCGATGAGTTTATAAGAGAGAGAACTCACACTGGTATGAATAATACAGAGAATCAAAATGTTAATAGCTGGAGAGTCATGGGCATAAAAAGTGAACATGAAAATCATACTGATGCCTTGTGGTCAGAAAACTTTAAAGCTCGTGCAGCTGTACAGCCTGTGCGAACTGTACACAGTTAGAGCATGGTGTCAGGAAGATCTAGTATCGACAGTGGCAAAATGCTCATGAAAAGAAACACATAATTCAGGTAATGTATCAAGAGTTGTCAAGTATTGTTTGTTACTGTTAAGATTTGTTACCACAACCTGAAACATGTACTTGTATGTCACTTAGCCAACCAGCTAAACTCCAGTTATCCTTAGGCAGCCTTCTGGGTGTAATTTTATCTGGCTTTTTTTCAGTATCCTTGACCCATCATTATACTATTTGGTTTTAAATGAAAATATGAATATTTTTTACAAATATTTTCATCCTCTAGTTTCCATTGTAAAGTATATCCAGGAGGTCTTGACAAAATTATACTCATTACCTTACAGATTTGTGGCGATCAAGTGAATATTTGTATTAAACAACATTGTCCTCACTTGTTGATGTGCCAATAACTAGTGATGACAATGTTGTACTGCAGTATTGTATTGCCACAAAATCTGTAAGGCTGTGTATACATTTTTAGATTTTCTGCATATACTGTACATATATTTATTTTTGGAGTGAGTGTACAAAAGATTATTTTATCAATTGTTGTGATGTGGATTCAGAATTAAAGCACGTGTACAGCATTGGTATTACCGCAGGTTGAGGTAAGCAAGACTGCCTTTGTAAATTGGGACCGTGGTGGTAGGATCGCTGATGACATAGCTAACGATGGAATCAAACCAACTGTCGGCATTAAAGAAAGAGGGAGGACTACAAACACTGCTCAGGAACCACAAGCACATATTCAACATTTTACAACGGAAGTCATTCAAGTAAGTTGACATCTGTGGTCACTCTACTAGCAGCAGATTTTATTTCATAAATACTGTACCCATCATTTAGCTGTTTTTAGTAGAAAGAACATATGGTAAGAAATGTAAAGTTTGAATGATTATAGAAAAGAAATTGTAAACTATTGGTCTTCTTTCTCACATGTATAAGCTTAATATGGTGCATTTTATTTCCTGTATATGATTATTAAGGCTTAATGTTTAGTTTCCTTAATATGGCAATACTGTATACTATGTATTATTATATTGAGAGATTTTACAATGTTTAAACTTCATGAAGTCTGCCAACCACAAATGGTGATCGAGGAGACATAACACAACTCTTAATTTCACCTCAACAGTAAAGTCATATCATGTGTAAATAATATTCTTGTTAGTGTGAGAACCAAGTTGAAAGTTCAGTATTTATCTTAAAGAAAAATTAAACTACATGAACAATTATATGCATATCAAGTTTGCCATCTAAGCTTGCATAACCCTAGATGCCAGTAAATGATGAATGGCTAATGTAATATGACCTGATATTATACATGGGTCCTATCATGACAATCTTTAATGTAATAATTATAGTTACTAGTAATATTAGAGTAAATAATTAATAGGTAATGCAGCAGGACATAATACCTGCATGGGTTTCATCCTGTAAATCTTTGATATGTAATTATATTCACTCTCCAACCTCTCAATAGTCTTATAATAGATCAATCTCATCAGTCAATACACAGAGTGGCTCATTTCTTAAAATTTTAATTATTTTTTTTCTTTCAGGTTCCAGTGCCAGAATGGAGCGACAGTACCCAAAACTCGGATTAAAACAAAACATTGTTGGTTTCACATCAACCATGTCAAGGGATGTCCACTGCCTTCTCAAACATGCTCATGGTGATGAAGATTTAAAAAGTCTTAGGCAGTCCTGCTTGTATATAATTTTACTACTGTTGTTTTGTATAGTGATAATGTATTAATTAAACAATCTAACTTGTTAACTGAAGTTCTCTTATGATATAATGCCTTCCACTAGACAACTGACGTAAACTACACACCAAGCATTTGAGATGGACCCAGAGCACCCTGATGTTGGTGACTGCAACTAACCTTTCTGATTAGTTACAACTAACCAGGTTATTAGTTAATTCTCTCCATTGCAGCCATAAACCTAAAATGGAGGACTAAGCAAATCTGCATGACTTGGTTGGTTCTACCACCATGTCATTTGACTAAATATCACCTTCTTAGGTCTAAGAAACGACCTGCCATTCATTGCCAGCCACATCTCACTATAGTCTGTTCTGTCAAAGCTTGCAACTAAGGCCTGGGATCAGTTTGTAACAGGCCAGCTAATTAGTTGCGGATGGACGCCTCAAAGAATAGATACAATTCTTCGTATTTTATCTATCATACAATATTTATATTATGATATTTAAGGTAACAACCGATGAGGGTAAAAGGCAAATTTCCTATAAAATTTGTCAGGCCAAGTAAGAAAATATCCTCGCAAGTAAATTTCATGTCACTTGCCTGGACAAGTAAATGCTTCACATTATTTACACAGCCTGTACCATACAGTGTTATACAATAGAGAGTTGTGATTATCCACACCATTAACTATGAATCACTTTGTAGCTATAACAACCTCAAACTGTACAGTACTAATTTATATGTTCCATAGAAGAACGATTACAGTATTGTGGAACTTTCGAAAGATGCAAAGAATAGCAAAGGGGATTTCTAAATGATGGTATCACCATATCATGTGTCTACTACAATAACACTGACCAGTAACACAACACTAAATACAATACAGTACAGTACTGTACTGTACGGTACAGTACTGTATAACAGGAGAATTCTGCTAGGGGGTGAACAGCAATAAAATAACAATGAACTAATGCTGAATTTATTATTTACTGTAGCTTGTGTAATTATTAAGAGCTTATTGGATATTACAAGAATACAATAAAACTTGTTTACTGATTTCATTACTAGTGGTGGACTGCAACTCAGAAAAGTGAATTAGCAAGAGATGCATTTCTGGAACCAGGAAAGTCTGCACTCTTCTTCCTTGAACTCTGACGCTGTCTGCCCAAATTAGTTCTACTTAAAGAGATCCAGTGTAATATTTTAAATACAAATTCTGAGTTTGCATTAATTACCTCTATTGTCAAGAGCATCAGATAAATGGTGTTCAATTCTCTGGATTAGGTGATGGATACAATCTTGCCCAAATTTAATCCTCCCTAGAAATTCTTCCTCAGTCATAGCCTGAAAGGGTTGCCATGGTCAACTACAACCCTTCTTAAGCGCCTCCATCGATGATGTTCCACATTCCAAATACAGTATATAACGTGGTGGAAACAAGGTGAAGTACAGACATCACTCAGTGAAGTGAACAGAACAACCTGTGATTGGTATAACTGTACATTAACGTATGTTAAGAGGAGTTGGCTACCAAGGACGTGGTTAATGAAACTAAATGATGAAAACCCCATTGAAATCTGACAATGGGAACCCGAGTCCCTTGTAAATACTGTAAGCAATAAAGACCATCTTCAAGGAGGCAACTTTACTCACCTGAGATATTGAATGTTGTACCTGAACTCCATCAAGATCATGTAGTACTTTTAAACAAAATATCTGGTGCCATCTTTGTATGTGGATTTTTCTGATCTGCACCAGCCCTTATAAAAATAACAAAGTATGGTACTCATGAAGGACATAATCTTCCCATCCCTAAAATAATATTGTACTGTCCCCCAAAAAATAATGAGATTGTCTAAATTTTGGGACATGAGAAGCATGTATCATACTACAGTATTTGAATTTGGGGACCAAAGTAATAACCCAAATTTGGCTTAAACATATAGCTGTAATTATATCTTTTATGGTGATAGTTGTTGTGGGGAGGATTACTAATTTTGTGATTAACTGTAAGTAATCATAAGATTAGTTCTAGCCATCAATGTTAGGTTACCCTGGTTCATCCTGAAGGGCAGGTTTATTACATGACCTGCCTAACTACAGGCTTTATCTTAAATGGGATTTCAGGATCAGTCTATCACTTATAAACATAATCAATGTTGAATTAATAAACTGTGCATTATGTGTGTTGTTGTCCTAAGCTGTTTTACATGAGTTCTCATAAAAACTGGAAATATTTCATAAAAAAGTAGGAGACACTAGTCATGCAGCAGGACTAAACGACCAAAGATGTGGGCGAGTATAGGAGAGTACCCCTTCTTACTGAAAATTTGGTTCTTGAATGCAGATTTAGACACTTAATCAAATTCTCATTACTGAAGTTAAGTATTAGGTCAGATAGCAAACCATATAATAGACATCACGTTGCCAGTGTATGTTGAGGAAATTGACACAGACGTGACAACCAAGTATATGAAGGATATGGTCGATCGAAAGACAACCTTCAAGCAGGAGCATCTGGGCATAAAACTGTACTGACATTCCTGCATGATGCTGTTCCATTGTAGATGATGTATTCTGTATAATCTAGCACTTTAGAGACTATGCCAGTTAAATTCAGCAGCCTGTCGTTGTTTGTGCAGTGGTGATTGCCTCTTTTGATTATACATAGGACTCATAAACCATATTCCAGTCATTGGAGATCTTTTTTTCATACAAACATCTGCAGAACAGGATTTAAGAAGTTTTGAGCCTGTTGCATAACTCTCTTACACTCTCAGGCCAGGACTCTTTTGAACTTTGAGCTTAAACAATTTGGATGAAACTAACCCTTCTTAGAATTAATGTCACCTCGGTCACTATCATCTGATGCTTTCAATATTTGTCTGACTATCCACAGTCTCTCCATTATTCAATAATTCAGTCATTTTCTTCAATCATTCTCTTTCAATCCATGGAGAATGTCCCTGGATTATACTGAACCCACTGTTTCTTGGTTGTCCAGCCCAGTCAAACTCTCATTCAGCAGATCGTAGTATTCTGTCAAAGCCTCCTTAATTTCTCATTATTCTTAGGATCTTCATGTTTTGGTCCTCTTTGATTCACTCCCTGTTTTTGAGTGGAATTTAGTTTTGAGGAGAAGTGCCTCATTTACAGTAAGGACCATATAAGATTTGCAATTTGATGGCTGGGAATGAAATATGAAAATTGTAATGTACAGTGTATTAATTTATGTCGAACACACGGAGAAAGGAATCCTCCCAATAAGGGATGGGACTGGCTTGAATTTGTCCATTATTAACAGGGTTTACTGTACAAGAACATGCAGAGCATTATGTTGGAAGGACTCAGAAACAGTTATGAATAGAAAAAAATATATTTTTTAAATAATCATGGTTAAGTTGGTGAAATTTATTTTCCATGTATCTCTGTAGTATACAAGATTATGAAACTGAAGTCAAAGAAAGGAATTTAGTCTAGCAGAGATATGTTGATAAATCTTTAACCATGAATATTGTTACAATACCTGAATGTAGAAATTCAACTTACCTTCATTATGGGGCTTCAGTATTTGCCAGTCTTTGTGCTAGCCACGGCAGAAGAAATACATGATGGCACGACACCCAGAAGTCTGAATGGCTACCAATATTCTCAAACTCACATGGGACAGCAACTGTGGTAGCCTTGACCAATCACAGCACAGCATCTTTCAGTCTGCTAATCCCATACAGCAACTACTGTACCCTCCTGAGAGTTTTGGATTACTGGGATGTTCAACTGCATGGGTGTGCCAAGTTCAACATGCACCATCTGACCACAATATCAATAACAGACAATGTTCCCATTACTAATCTTACTGGCTGCGACTGCTCAATATACTGGGCAAAAGACATCCTTCATTGGGAATTTCGTGCTGAAAAGTCCCTAATTAGAGGTTTTTACTCTAGATTACTGTACTATAGTTTGTTTTATTTTTCATTCTTTAAATAATATCTCTTTCCAGACTGATATGAAATCCTTTGGAGTTATTGATATCACTTATAAGGGTAAAAATGCCTAAATTTGGTAGACAAACCAGTTGTAATACATTTCATTTTAAATGTGGCACTGAAGTAAAATGTTTGTTTCTATATATCATTTTCATATCTTCTCAGTTTCCTAGCCATTGAGATGGTCGGTCTGTTCTTTGTTATGACCTCATTGTCCAGTGTTAGTACCTGTGATGTTTGGTAAGGTCACACTGGATACTGTAACCTTCTCGACCCAGAGATCTGAACCCATGACCACAATGGTGAGAGGCAAGACCTGCCATAGTCCCAACAACAACAACACCCAATTTGTGTAATATGAACAGCTGGGTGGGGAAAGGAACCAAACTTTACAGTTACATTACTGCAGATAATCACTGCAAACACAATAAAAATTACAACACTCCAAATCTCTAATTGTTCAGCTTTTTCTTTTATGTTTCTTTTTCTGGGTAGGCGTTAGTTTCCTCTTCTCTGCCCATGATTTCAATAAATTCTGAAACCACTTCCCTCTTCAACCAACTTGGCTTTTTACTAGCTGACTTTAAACAATCTTTGTCATCTCTCAAACAGATATCACTATTCCCAGTCATATCATTGTCTTTCTTATGTTTCAACTTAACATCTTCCCTTTCCTTTTGGAGTTACATAATGTTTTATCATCTAATTCTGTACTGCCATTATCATAATTTGGTTTTCAATTATCATCCTGTTTATATCACTAATGTCAATATTTTTATTTTCAACAGATCTCTTTTTTCGCTTTATGCTTACTCGGTGAAGTTTATCCAACTCATCGCTACAATTAACAAGTTCTGTTCCATTTGATTCTACATTACCAACTCCATCACTTTCATTAGGTTTCACCGAATCTTTACTTTCTGTTTACTTCTAATATCAGATTTTTGGGGGCCCTCTTTCATTTCCTTGTTTCAACTTTTCTTCTGCTGGTATAATTTGTTTCACTGACTGTATACAGGTATCATGATCTCTCTAATGGTATGGTTACAGCTACCTTTTTCATCACTGTATTTGTTCTGTATATGTCATTTTACCATAGTCACTGTCAACAGGTGTCTTGGGCATCATATCACCTTGCTACTTGCTTCATACAGTGCATTTTGCTTCTTTTTTTTTTTTTTTCTTAACTGAATTTGATGTGTCACCACATTTTTTGTCTTTTTTTACAAATTTGGCAATAAAGAATCCTTGACACATATCAATATCAGGCAATGGTTCTCAAACATTTTCTCCAAGACAAAACGTGGATCTCCAAATGTTTCCATCCAGAGAGTTTTTGTCCAAGATTCTCAAGTTCAAACTCATCTTGATAGTGCTCCAGTGCTTTCAACATTTTCTTCATTCTCCTCTACATTAACAGAACAGGTAGAGTATATGACTTCCTTCACTGATGGAAATGATAGTTAATTAGTAAGTATTTCTGGAATGTTTGCAGGCCTCTGATGTCAGACCATCATCATGGAAGTTTACACCTAAAAATATTAACAGTGAAATTAGTCATGTTTGCTAAGAATTGTCTCAATATTAAATGCATTTTAAAAACAAAACTGACAAATATACATAAAAAAGAATCACAACTAATTTTTTTTACTGAATGTTTATTCATTCAGTGCAGAAATATCTCAGACTTTTACTGGTATCACACCTTTACAAAAGCTTTTTTTATGTAATTTTACAATACAGTACTGTACTATATACCTTACGATCTGTTTGAAGCTGTTTGATACTTTATTTACAGAGTACAGTACAGTTACTTGTGCAGAATACTGTATACTGTAACCACCATCACTAGCAAGTGGTGCAGGTGACAGTTGCTGTAATTTGGATGGAAAATGGCAACGTAAAATGGTAATGATGATGATGAAAGCACTTTGATGAACAAGATGGATCAAGAAATATATACTCCACATCAGAGTACTTTTCACACGAGAGTTTGTTGAAGTTGGTTAATACAACACATGTGGCTTCATCGTTCCACCATAAGTTTCTGTAGAGTTTTAAAACGCTTAAGTTTCAACTGCCAGTATACTCCTGTAAACATAAAGACAATTAAGAGAAATAATTTTCAGTGTCCATAAACTGATAATTTTATAAAATTCAGTATTCATGTAAAGTTAGTAAAGGAACTTATACACCACCCCACCATTGCCCCCCAAAACATTAGTAGCAGTAGTGTATTGTTAATGGGGAAAACCACCAACAAATGTGTACAAAGTAACTTTCTTAAGACTACTGAAGTAAAAGTACAAAGTAACCTACAAAATTAAGTACAAAAGAGCCTCCTAAAAACTAATTAATAAGAATACTAACATACCCAGAGTTACACATGATGGCTGAAATGTACTGAGGTCTTGTTTCCTGGTGCAGCACAAGATCAATCACGTTAGCTCCTGGGTTTACACTGCTCAAAAATACGGAATACAGCTGGCCTGAAAACACAAGATGCCATTTAATTCCCTATGACTTAAACTAACATCAGGGCCAAGACTACACAAAATCTGATTATACAACTGTAATGATGTGTAATTAATTCAATATTCCTTTTATTAATTTTTTCTGTCCTCAAGTCCTTCTACTACTGTACTGTACAGAAGAGTCGATATCACTAGATCGTTCAAGAGGGTTTCTTTAAACCGAATTGCACTAAATCGAAGTGTTGTTTCAATAGAATAATTTAGTTTGGTACTTGAAAACAAAAATACTAAAAGACTGAGAGTCTACCCAGATGCACCTCAGCCCATCTCCTAGAACAAACAAAACATTGTTTTTGTAGTATTATGTTAAAACAAACACTCATAAATCAACACAGCTAAATTTATGGGACGGAAATGGTCTGTTTACTAGCGATCAGCTGATGGGAAGATGGGGGAGGTGAGGTGATATGTTTGACAGTTGATGTCAAGGTCTAGTGCCTATTTATTTATCTGTCCTTAAGTGTGACTTTAAGTTTTACTCTAATAAAATGTAACTGAACTGATATGTTCTAATTAATTTCAATACAAAGGCTAAAATTTTTATCTCTTGTGCAGAATACTGTATGTAGTTTATACTGTATTCAAATTATTCTGTCTTGCAAGGATCTTAGCATGCAAATTATATTCTCCTAACTTTAGTCTGTGATATTATATAAGATAAAAACTGTAAGCCTATAAACACTCAACCCAGGTTGGGAAGATGGGGGGTGACAGTGACCGTTTGACAGTAGTGGAGCGGAAAGTCTAGTGAAGTATTTATTTGTTTATGTCCTTTAGATTGAGTTTCTGTTTTTGTTTATAAAATGTCACAGAAGTGACCGGGAGAATATAATTTACATTGGTGGAATTTTATAAGATAGTGATTAATTTGAATATAATTATGCTATAGTTGGCACTAGACAAAATTTTAGTAATCACTTAGTACTATATTTTGAGTACATGTACAGCACAGCTTTGCCCTTAGGACAGTGTAGTGTTCCCAGAGAGTGACTCGTGCAAAATAGGAAAGACTCGCTTTAAATTAAAATATTGTCCTAATTTGGATGTCACGTAAATCAATTATCTTAAATTGAATCGCTTAAATCGATCGCTCTACTGTATTATGAAGTGTAGCCAGAACAATGACTAAACACTTCTCTCTATATACAGTGATATCTCCATTAGCCGAATAATTGGTGCAGAGCACTTCCAGAAATGAGAGTCCGGGTAGCGAGGCGACTCTCTCAAACCCGAAAAAACCCTCATCCCGAATTTTCGGATAACGGAAAATGTTCTAGGAAGTTCCAGAAATTGCACCCGATTTTCATCTCTCAACCCGGAAAAAATTATCCCGGAAAATCCGGTATGGGAAAATTTCTCGAATGTTTCGAAAATCGTTCCAAAGCCGGAATGTTCCAGAAAATTCCAGCTTTGGGAACTTTTTCTGAGAAAATTTCAATCTGCGATCGAGAGTTCGGGTTTGAGGGATTCGGCTAGCGGAAATGTTACTGTATTGTCATTCATTCACTTTTATTACAACATCCCCAAAGCTAATCCATCAGATGTCATGCTCTCCTGTCAATCATACAAACTCAACTTCTTTGTAGATGTCAATTCCCAACACTTTAATCCGTCCTTCACCCACCCTTCAATATCCTCAATCGTCTCTCCACACTCTTCCCTCCCATTATTCTCTACCAACCTTTCTCTCCACCTCTCAGCATGTTCATGACTCCTTAGCAGAATCAGGTCAGCTCTAACAGTTTTGTCTCCACACCTCCTAATTTCATTAGTACTTATTCTCTACATTCTATTTACTCCACACACTGTTCTGAGGCACATCACTTCACCATCATCTCTGCATCTCCTCTTACACACATGCTTCACATCCATATAATGTTAGTTTTCTCAGATATCTTTATCTTTGTCTAATGTTTATGTTTAGTAAATAAGACCTTTGTTATTCTCTTAGTTCAAGATTAATCAGAAATGTAAAAGTTACCTGAATATTACCTTATTTTGTAAAATTATTGCATTCTTATTATAAAGAATGCTGTTCCAGAAAGGGTGTTGGGTGGGAATACCAGCAACTGGTATGTGATAATCTATAAGGTAAGTTGTTTCATCCATATTCTGAAATAAATAAATAAATAAAAAACATTCCATTTATAATATTCCTTGCCACAGATAAACCTGCCTATACAAGATCAGTTCACCTGTTATGCAGGATCACAATTCAGGTAAAATTTCTTTCAAACACAAAGAAGAGCATCTAATATCCTCTTGAAACAAAGTGCAGGCCTATTAAATCTTGAAGTCTTAAATCTCAAGGGGATCCTCATAATAATTTAAAAATAGAATTTGTTATTATTCTATTCCAACAGATATGAGAGAATTTCTTCTTAACTTCAGGTATCACCCCCAATTACACCAGTAAAGACCAATTACCACAATACAGACTGGATTGATTACTCACAGTGACATCAGCTGATACTGAGTCAGTGCCCAGAATAAAAGTGTACAGTTCTGTACTGTATAATGTTTCAAAAGTAAACCTA